TGTGAGCCACTGAAAGCAACTGAAATTGAATCCAGCGCAATTTGAAAATATTCTGTTTACTTAAAGCCCAGAAGCCTAGCGTGAGAAGAAGAATCCAGGCCCAGGCGATGGTAGTTAAATTTGTTCATTTTTCTTTCTTGTTGCAATTTTATCTTTTCCGAGCAATTTAATGAAGACTCCAGAGGAAAGAATTAAATGTCTGCTGGTTCAATTACCAAATAATGAAAAGGTCGAAAGGAGCCCCATGCACTGTGTGCTGAGCCGCTATAAAAGCCTGTGCTTACAGTGAAAATCTTTTGTGTGCTGTTCACACTTGCGATATGCCACCCACAAATTGTACAGATGATTGTCAGTGTAAGAAGCAGAAATCAAGAGCTGGTACAGGTCGCCCTCCACAAGGGTGAAAAGGCCTGGCCCACGGGGGCATCTCACGACACCCACAGCAGCAGCCAGAGGCACGGTGGGGACCACAGCCTTCATCAGGAGGGACCAGACTGGCATTAAATCCACCCTTTGAGAAGGTTGTAATCACCTTTGGCCCTGAATGCATTGGGACTAGCCTGTCCTTGGGGCCACATGCAGGGTACGTCTCCGGGGCCAAAGAGACCTGGCAGCAAGGATTTCAAGGACTCTGCGCAGCCTCTCTGGCATCTGAAAAGCTACCCCCGCCCCCAACCTGCCCCAACTATATACAGAAAAGAAAGATTACAGAAACACAAAAATCCTCTACAGAAGCCAAAAACAAAGATAAAATAAAACTACGGTTTTTGGAATTCAAGCTTTAAAAATCAAGTCTCTTTGGAAATAATGGGCAAGCAAAAAGGCAGCTCGGCATAGACTCTCCTAGCCCCAACACCCACGATGACCATCTCTCCGCTCATGCTGCGGCTTCTCCAAAACCTTTGGATCAGTGACATCGAAAGACTCAATGGCCAAGTCATTGTACAGCTTCTTTTTCACCCTTAAATTAAGTTCTTCTTTGGTTATTTCAGAGAATAGCCTCATTCTTAGGAAACACACACTGAAATGTTTAAGGATAAAGGGTCATAATATATATCGCTGACCCATAGTAAAAAGTGTGTGTGCGTGCGTGTGTGTGTGTACGTGTGTGTGTGTGTGTGTGTGTGTGTACGTCCTCCTCCTTTATCTCTATCGACATATATGTAAATATTTACATACACATGTATATACCTTTGGGGGAGGGATGAGACGGAAACCAGGCTGAACGATAAAGCAAGTGGGGTAAAGTGTAAAGAGAATTTGGGCAGCCTTTGAACTATTTTTATTTTTACAACGTACCTGCAAGTTTGAAATTATTCCAAGTTTTAAATAGTGCAAAAAGTTTTAATTCTTTCTCTTTTCTTCTCCTGTGTATTAGCTCCTTGCTAGATACCCTCATAATTACACAACAGCCACACTCTGGGTAACAGTGTCTGTGAGGGGAGCGCCACTCCATGAGAAGGCAACAGTTCTGCTTATATGTGTAATCAGGATGAAGATTCTCTTGGAGAAACCAATCGCAAAGACAATTCTAGAACGGCCCCTCTTATGGTGTGCTGGTGATTACTGAGGGTTTATGTTGGGGTTGGAGAGGGACTATGGATAGGGAATGCAAGAGTATCTCTAGATAATTCCTTCCTCTCTTCTCTTAAAATACTACAGCCAAGGGTATCGGGTTCTCAAGGTTTTAAAAATCATGACTATTCCTCAAATCAAGTTAAAATATACGTGAGGGGCACTGTTAAGCGTCAGACTCCTGATCTCAGCTCAGGTCATGGTCTCACGGTTCGTGAGTTTGAGCCCCGCTTCAGGCTCCATGCTGACACTGCGGAATCTGCTTGGGATTCTCTCTCTCTCCCTCTCTCTCTCCCCCTCCCCTGCTCATGCTCGCTTTCTCAAAAATGAAAAAAAATAAACTTAAAAAAATAAAATATATGTAAACATATGTGAAAACAAACTGTATGAGAAAAAGAAAATCTCTGAATTATTTATGCCACTTTTTTTGGGGGGTGGGGGGAGTGGTGTCTGAAATGAGAGACCATAGGATCATTCTGTTATCAGAAGAGACCCTCTCTGGGGGCACCTGGGTGGCTTAGTCAGCTGAGCGCCCGACTTTGGCTTAGGTCATGATCTCGCAATTCGTGAGTTCGAGCCCCACATCAGGCTCGCTGCTGTCAGTCTGTCAGCACAGAGCCCACTTAGTATCCTCTGTCCCCCTCTGTCTGCCCCTCTCCCACTTGCGCTCTCCCAAAAATAAATATTAAAAAAAAAATAATACAAGAATAGAACCTCTCTGAAGACTGACCTTAATCGGTACTGCTACTCCTATATTCCCAAAAAACACAACTGTGGGATGCACTTGAATGAATATATGATTAAATCATTGAGCAACACCTGAGATAAAGTTCTAGGCTCACTTCCTTATCCTTAGGAATACCCTGTAAGATGTATGAAAATCTAAGCGGAGGCATCTTTAACTATAGGGTTCTCTCTTTATAAGCTTCTATTCTCCTCTTCTCCTTTATTTAGAATTCCATATTTAAATCTATGAGCATCATAAAGAAAAAGGTGAGATCAAGTGGACAAAGCTATTTTTCACACATATAATGGAATAGGATTAATACCGAGAGTACAGAAAGCATTCCTACAGATGAATTAGAATTAAAAAGATAATTCAAAGTAAAAATTGCCCAAAAGAGCCCATGAACAGGTATTCCACAGAAGAGAAAGCACAAACGGCCAAAACGCTCTGCCCAGGTGCTCAAAGTCATTAATAAGTGGAAAATGCAAATACAAATGCAAATAGCATGTCGTAAAAACCAGATGGGCAAAAATTCCAAAGCCTGACAATATCAACTGCTGACGAAGCTGTGGAACGATGGCACTGTCATTTACTGCTGGAGGGAGGGAAAGGTGGAAGAACCACTGTGGGAAACACCTGGTCATTGCAGAGCAGAGTTGAAGGCATGCATGTCCTGTGACCCAACAATTCTACTGCTGGGTATATACCGAGAAGCTCTATCAAAGACGCAGCGGCGGGTGGGTGTTGTGCAAGAATATTCCTAACAACACTTGTATAATGGAGGCCATCCAAAGTCTGCCAACCGAACAGTAAACTAGCATCTTGAGGCATTTCATACAATAGAACAGTATCCAGCACTGAAGATAAAGAAACAATAGTTGTGTACATCCACAGAATGGTCATCAGGAACACGATGTTGGACGAAAAAAACAAATGATACAAGAATGCATACATTATGATTCTATTTATGAAACAGGGTTTGTTTTTAGGGATAGAAATAGGGGTAGGGGCGCCTGGGTAGTTCAGTCGGTTGAACACCCAACTTCAGTTCAGGTCATAATCTCGCAGCTAGTGAGTTCGAGCCCCACGTCAGGCTCTGTGCTGACAGCTCGGAGCCTGGAGCCTGCTTCAGATTCTGTGTCTCCTCTCTCTGCCCCTCTCCAGCTTGTGCTCTCTCTCTCAAAAATAAAATAAAACATTAAAAAAATTTTAAAAAAAGAAATATATAAGGTAAAACTATACATAACAAGGGAATGAGAAACAAAAATTCAAGACTGTGGTTACCTGTGCCTAGAGAAGAAAGGAAAAGCAATCAGGAGGAGACATATGGACCTTGAATGGAAACCCTAATGGCCTATTTCTTAAAAGAAGTAGAGGGCACATCCATTGCATCATTATCCTTTATACTTACACATCTTACAAATATTCTTTTGTGCGTATCCAATATTCAACAAAAACAACTTTTAAGAACTGGTGAAGAAGGAAATGACCAAAAATATTTTATCAAGACTTGTTGGAAAGGAAAACAGAGGAAAACAACATTCCAGCCAGCAGCCTCTGGCAATCTTTCCTTCCACACACGCCATACTGGCCTGTCTCTGATTCTTCTTTGTTCACTCGATCCAAAACCAACCACGGCTCCGAGTTACCAGTTGTCCCGGGTTGGGGAAACATTTCACGATATTCATTAGAAGGAACAGGCAAACTTCCTTCTCTGTCCTCCTAACCCTCATTAAAATTCAGGCCTCCTCCAGGTGTGAATGACAAGCACATTACCCCATTCACACATGCGCACGCACCCATCCAATCTCTGCAGCTCCGTCAGGTTATTATTATATCCAACCAACTATTACTGAAAGCCGTTATGACCTGACTTTTGCCTTTGACTTATTCTCTAATATTTGTACATATTTAACAATGATAATACCATATTCAAAACAAAGAATCTATCCTCCAACCTATGCCTGAAATCTGAAAAAGCTCCTTGAAACACAGACATCTGTCTATGCTCCAAATACAACCATGTAGCAACAGCCCTTTAAAGCTAAACTAAAATTTAAAGTGAGTGGTGCAGGGGCGACTGGGTGGCTCAGTTGGTTAAGCGTCTGACTTCGGCTCAGGTCATGATCTCGCGGTTTGTGAGTTCGAGCCCCGCGTTGGGCTCTGTGCTGACAGCTTGGAACCAGCTTGGGATTCCTCGTCTCCTCTCTCTCTGCCCCTCTCCCTCTCACGCTCTGTCTCTCTCTCTCCCAAAAACATTAAAAAAAATTAGGGATCTAGAATGTTAAAAAAAAAAACTTTAAAAAAATAAGGTGACTGGTACAGTTGGTCAGTACAGCACTTAAGAACAAGATAAATCTCGCTCCAGAAAGTCTGACTCCTCACCTTGGTAGGTCATTAAAGATAAAAAGACATTCATCTCCCCCTCTGGCCCACCTGCCACCCAGTGGATGGGGAAGAAGAAAGTTTTGCTCTATTTTCAATGTCATGAAATTTTTTAAAAACTTGTTTTCATGTCAGTTACTCCAGTGACGTCTGGCTTCTCTCAGCAGTAAAATGCCAACAGGAACAAAATAATCAGACTGGTAAAAAAAAAAAAAATGCTTCTAAATGACCCACCTGGAAGATTCCATCACTTAGTCCCCTGACGTTTACTGAAGACCTAGTTAGGAGACGCTGTAAAAATACAACCACTTACCTCCGCATACTGTGCGACAGAACTGGCTTCAACAGCATACACTCTCCTAGCTCCAGCCTGCACGGCAAAAAATGATAGTATTCCTGACCCACAGCCAACATCTAGGACAATCTGGAAGAAAGAGCGAAGACAACAGAGGGGTGAGAAAATGCACAGGTATGTTGGCTCCACCATGGCTTTGAGCAAGTGTCTTCAGGCTAAACGCCCCAGCTTTGCTGTTTACAAATGGTCTCACCTTAGTCAAGTTAGGAATCTCCGTGAGACTCCATTTTCTCAGATGTTTAATGGGATAATAATATCCACTTTTTAAGGTTTTTTTGGAGGGATTAAGTAACATGAAGTATCTACAGAGCACCTGGCAGGTAGTTGGTGTTTTTCAAATCACTGCTCTTATTACTATGGTGTCTCTATTTTTTGTTTTTAATTTATTTTTGAGACAGAGAGAGACAGAGCATGAGCAGGGGAGGGGCAGAGAGAGAGAGGGAGACACAGAATCCGAACCAGGCTCCAGGCTCTGAGCTGTCAGCAGAGTCCAACGCGGGGCTCGAACTCATGGACTGTGAGACCATGACCTGAGCTGAAGTCAGACGCTGAACTGACTGAGCCACCCAGGCTCCCCTACCATGGTGTCTTTGTAACACAGATCGCTGTTAGGACGTCCAGGGCCAAGAAAAGTAAAGCGTCATGAATAAGCTCGCCTATCAAATCTGTTAGCAGGAACAAAACGAAAAGTGTCACCGATCATTTTATGTTTTTATACGTTCTGTGTTTTATTTTATACATGTAAAATTTTTATATATAAATTTATTACATATTCATATACGTATATATTCAGAAATAACTGAAGATAAAGTCTTCAAAAATCCAAAAGTCGGGTTTGTGCTTGCTTTTTT